CATTCGTCCATGTTTCTGGATCTCGCGACCGTCATCAGAGGAACGGAAGCGCTACAGGACCGTTTCCGCGTCGATCCGCCCCTTCTTGGAAACGATGCGCAGCCATCAATGAAGTTCGTTCCTTCCCTGAACCGCCCATACCGAAAGGATTATTTGACGCGACAGATGTGTACGCCTGCTAAACTTTTCTTCGCCAAAGCAGAGCGACTAGCTTAAAAAAAAACTTGAACGTGGATCTAGATGCCAGCGATCCTCAGTACAATGTGCTCAATCCAATAAGTGAAAGCAACCAGCTTCAATGCGTCGCTGGATCAGAGCATCATGAGTTATCAGCCATCTGTTCCATTTTAGCGTCGGCGGCACGAACCGCACTCGCATTGCCAGAGCCCGCGTCGGTAAAGTCGACCACCCCCAAGTACGAAACCCTTCCCGGCCCGTTACAAACAACCCCGACCCAAGGCCCGCAGGATTGGGTCGTCCCAACTCATGTTAAGCGTCACCTGTACATCGAAGACAGCTTGACCGGCTAAAGCAGATCCCCTGACGTGGAGGGAGGCAAGTGAGTGACTTGTTTGACACGGTGTCAATGCACATGCCCTGCAAGCGTCAACAAGGATCGTCAACACACTGCGAGCGCGTCTGCGGCCGCTTCTGCGGCCTCAGCCCAGCACTGTGGGTTAGACAGATTAGGCGCGGGACAACTGGACCAGCCGAGGATCGTAGCAGCACTGATTGGCGAACCATTGCACCACCTGTTGGCTGGGCCCGGCGCAGCTGGTTGTTGCTTGTGCTTGAAACTCTCGTCCCTCAAACTGCAGCCACTGTAGCATGAGTGGGCTTCAAGCGCGCAAAACAGTCGATGGCGTGGCAGTGCCTGTGTATGCATGATACAGACGACCGGCTGACAGCAGAACCATCTACCATGCACATTCACCCGTTCACCGCGATACTGCACCCCCCCCCCCCTTAGAATTGAAAACCCCGCCAAGCGCGTACCGAGGCATATAGCGAGTAGCGATGGGGGGAGTACGCCTAGAACTCTGGCTCAATGCTTGTGTATCAAGCCACTCTGACAGAATCGGTGGGTACGGTGTCGTGTCAACGAGAAGCCTGCCGCCACGCAAACGGCTGACTGAGTCCCGAGCACGGAGCTGTCAGATGAAGAGAGCCGCCAACGAACAAGTGCGTGCCATGTCTCACACGGATGCAAGACCTGCTGTTTCCCCCCTTGGCGTCATAATGTCGGGGCTCCCTGGGCGACGGCGGCGGCGACAAGCGGCGGGGGCAGTAGGAAGGGAGGGAGCGGCTCGCATGCCATGACCGATGGTGTTTTGCCTGGTTACGACAGGCCAAACAGGGAAGAAGCAAGCGGAAGATTGACAGGAGCAGCACCAACAGCATTTTAGCTCCATTTTCGCCCATGAGCGGCGCCTGTCGACCTGAATGCACCCGATTGCTTTCGGGTTGCTTACTCAAATCCAGGCGAAAGCGGACGAGGCAGGGAGCGTCGTGTGACATGACAGCGACCTGGACTGACCTGACAGGTACACATGGCCTAGAGGCCCTGATAAACGGCAAAAGACGA